TTTTGATCCAGCAAATAAGTTGTATGTGCCAGCACGCTTCACCTACTTAAATAGATCAAATTATAAATCAACTTTATTTCGTTGCTAAATATTATCTCAGCATTAATAAAAAAAGAATTTTCGCCGCATTAAGGTTTTACTTTCTTCAAGACGAAGTACAAATTTCATATATATGTATAAGGAAAAAACCACATTGGTTCTACAGCTTATAAAAACAAAAATCTCGTATCCAACGCGACGGTTCTTGGTTATAATTAATCTAAAAAGATTTGGTTTATCGTTGGATCTTAAAGAATTCGCTAACAGCTTTTTGTGATGTGGCACTCTAAGACTTAAAGCGCAGTTACCCACGGACGTAAAAACGGAGAACGTGTCAGCTGACACGATCTATTTTATGGGTAGCCGCGCTCTCAGAAAGATTCCGTAGATTTACTAAAAAATATATCAAGTCGTAGTGGCTGCGCCCACCGATGATATCTCCCCTGGGGTCTGAGCCGGCTGCCGACGGCCCTGGACACGAGCTTATACGTACATATGTATGTATGTATGTGATAAGCGCATTCTCGTAGATAAGTGATGACAGGAAATTTTAAACTGACGTCGGGAATGTGAAACTCATTCTGCAAGCTAATGCTAATGGAAATCTACAAAATGATGAATTGATGTCTCTTACTTCACACTTACATACATGCACACATATATTCTAATGTCATGCAATGCTTATCAAAAAAAAGACAAATACAAACTAAACATTAATTTATAAGTTTGAAAAAGCGAGCAATGAAATTAATTGCTGCTTACATACTCGTATAATAATGGGCGTTTTCTAAAAAAATTTGTTACATATGTAGTTTGTTGCAAGGCGAATCTACAGAAGATGGTGTTGTCGAATTCGCAGATTTCCTGGCGAATTTGTACCTTTTGTCAAAATGGTGTGTTTGCTGTATTTTTGTTTTGCTTTGATTGTATGCGTATAAATTGTTGTTGTAATTTTTGTTTTTGTTCTGTCAACACCACCTCATATAAATTCGCCTTGGTTTGTTGCCAATGCCACCATTAGGCGATTTTATCGTTAGGTTTTACTTTCGAAATAATTCCAATGGGGTCATAGGTAAAGCAACAATTCGCACGCACCGGTTTGCCGGCACAAAATGTATGTGTAACAATTAGAGCTTTCAAACGAGCCCGGGAGCGGTTGCTAGTGATGGCACGATTTATCAAATAACTGAATATAATCGGTTATTTTCATTCCGTTAACGATTTAATTGTATCGAAATATTCCTGGCGACTAATCGAGCGATTAACCGATTATTTTTCAAAATAATCGAAGAGCAACCATAAAAAATTTACTACTTCACTCATACAATAATGTATGTATCAAAATTACGTAAGAAAAACTTGCACTCTAGCCACTCAATATTATTAGCCCCAATAAAAGTGTCCACTCTACTCGGTACATATGTATAATTTAACTAATTAAAGGAAAAAATATCAACGGTAAGTGCCAAATATTTCAGTCTTGCAACTTTTTATACAAAAATGTAATGGGCTACAAAATTGCAAACTGAATTTTATTTAATTTTAAAATATTGCTTAAAATTGGATATACTTATATTTATACGATTTTTGCTAAAGAATAAGCTATACTTAAAAAATATAATTAGAATTAAAAAAAAATTGTTGTAGTGCGCTTATAATTTTGTATAACGGACGGTATACAACTTTACTTCTTTTTATTTGTTTCCCTTCGTTATTAGTTTTCTTGATTGTTTTCGCACTGAATTCATGGCGAAAATTATCACAATTTAACAAGAAATGTGTCTTTAAAGAAAACAGTCAGTTTTATAACTTATGTAAGTGGTTTTTATTAATTTTCGATTTTAATTGAAAATACCAAATAATCAGTTAATTTCTTACGTTTAATTGCAATTATTAATCCAAGAATCAATTAGTCGATTAATCGATTATTAATTTTTTTTTTTGCCATCTCTACCGGAAAACCGGCTGCGACCGGATCGTTTGAAACGGCACCAAAGCAAACAATTCCAAATTTTTGTTTATTTCCTTTTTTAATAGATACATATGTATGTATGTATGTATGTATGTAAATATCAATTTTTATATACATAACTATTGCATGTATGACTGCCGATCCTATAATCCAAAACGAACTAATTTGCATGTTTTGGTTTTAGTTGAATGCAATGCAATGTGCAAAAATTCTTAAAGTAGTTTTTATTTAAACGGTCATGCCCCTATCATAAGGTGAAGAGAATGAGCCGGTTGAAAATCTAAACTCAGGATGGATAGCAAAATATTGGAAATATTTGTGGATCTTCATATTTCCGCGGGGCAATCTTGCATAGAAATATTTATAATTTTTCGGTGTGACGTTAAAGATTTTAGCTTGCGAAAGCCTAAACAGCCTGTACATTCGAAAAAGGCGTACATTTTGCGTGCGTAGCGTCTGCGTCAAACGCCTTTGTGTTAAAAGAAAGAAAGCATTTCCGCAGTTGTGATCGCATACATATGTATGTACATTAGGGTGGTCCAAAAACAGTAAAGTCGGAATTGTAATGCTCTCACCCCCTAGGATTGTTCTATAACTAAAAAGTATGCCCCTAATTTTTTATTTTGAAATCTAAAAATATTTAGAGATCGCTTAAAGCGCTCAAAGTTGTCTATGTATTTTTATATGGAAAAAAATATAATTATTATTTTGAGTTGTGACTCTTTTGAAGAAGGTGTGTGATATATGTACATACATACATTTCCCGCACTCTTCACTAGCATTCCTATGCTATCTTTCAAAACCGCCTTATCAATATTAAAAAAAAAATAAATAAAAATAATTTCTATTTGGCATTAAACCAACATTGCAAAAAAAATAAAATAAACAAAGTCACACGCCACTCTGCTTTTGACGTGATTCACATTGGTTAATAGCATCAAGTAGTAACATACATACATACATTTTGCATGTACGTGGATACAAACTCAAAAACCCGTTAGCTTGCGAGTAAAAAGGTGGTAAGTCCACTTTTTCCAAAAATGCAAGAAGCAAGAACAATTAAAAATGCATTAGGGGTATTCTCCAAATCTTGCAAAGCCATTGCACGTAGCACGGATTGCACGGATTGCATAAATTGCAAACACACAACAAGAAAATTCATGGGAAACAACATTTCCTATCGCTGCAAAATATGCAACGTCGAAACCCATGTATATATTTTGCAAAATAGCATAGCAAGATAATAGCGACCCTGTGCTAGTTGTTTTGTTGTTGGAATTGCTACATATTTCTCTCATTCCTCTCATCTCGCTCACTTAATTTTTTTTTGCTGTCTCTTGTTATTGTATTTGATACATAATTTCGCTGCTTGCTCCCCATGCATGCTACCTCTTTGCAATGGGGTGTTCTCGTACTCTTCGAAATTTGGAATAGTATTTTTGCATTTCGTGCAATCCGTGCATCGTGCAAGACTTCGAGAATACCCCTATTGTTTCTTCAAATATCCAACTACCTGTTTTATTTCTACTTGTTTCAATTCCGTGATGCGAAAACTTGCTAAGTCCATAATAGTCACAGAAAATGTTTTACGTACATATGTACATATGTAAGTTGCAAAGAAAGCACACACTTTTTATCAACGGTGAGGAATTCGATTCGTTTGAAGTGATTTTAGCTTGGAATAAGAAAGGATTGAAGAAAAGGCATTTATTCTGTCCAGTGAAATTTGAAAAAACTGAACTTACCA